GATGCGTTTATCGACTTACAAAAAAAAGGGCTTTCAAAAAAGAAATTGAAATATGTTTAAAACACAATTTCTTTTACAAATTAGTTTAATTTTCCACGGATCTGTAAACATTCCTCTTCTTGGTATAAAATAAAGCAAGGAATTGGTTTCCATAATTAGGGTTGGATCTGTGGCAAGGCGAGGCCATCAAATTTTGATTAAAATTTCTTTTTTTTATATCTAACTCTGTAACTTCGCCTTTAGATAAAATCAAACTGTACTTTCCTCTTTTCGGAAATATATACAATCCGCAATGATCACATTTTGCATGATTTTCCATAAACTAATGGAGTTTTGAATGAAATGAAAGACTAGATCGTATAGTATATCAGATTTCACCAACATTTCTAAACTCAGGGTTTATTTAGTAGATTCGGCCATAATTCGATTTAGCCGCATCTGGCATAAAAACAAAACCATTAGATCGGTAGTGGTGGACCAACCTTTCATAAGTATAACGCACCCATCCACTTTAAAAATGCTGCACTAGAAAACGAGAAGCAACCAATAATTTCTGCAATTATACAGATGCAATTTTAGCGCGTTAATCAAAACGAAGTCAACGAGAATGGTCTTAGAGCAGCTGTCTGCAGCAGCGTGTGAATTATTTTTAATTACCTCCATAATTCACCTTCTAATCGAACGCGAATACTGATTACTCTAAACTGTTATTTTTACATAACGGTTAATAAAGTGCATGGAATATGGCGCATTTTATGGGAGAATTTCACGGGCTAATTCCCGTCTACGACATATGCTACGTTTTTCAATTTTGAGGATCATGAAAGTGTAACTGCAGCGGGTTTCTTCGGATGATAAATTTAAACCTAGCAAAAGCTCTCCTTGCCACAATCGTAACATTAAGGGGAATATTACATATTCATGAATGTGGCCACTACGACTGTGGTAGATGTGTTCGGGTACTCTCAACCTGTTGCCAAATATTTGCACTTATGTAATTGATATTGATTTTGTCTAAAGTCAAGAGAATCTTGAGAGTAGAGCCATCTTGCACTTACTGAAACAAAAAATAGTCAGAAATATTGAAATGCATTCTAACGAAATTAAAAAATTAAAGAAAACGAATAAGTTATTCAAAACCGTAATTTGCAAATGGCGAAATCAAAGGTGATGGTCTAGAATTTCTTTAACAGTTCACCGCCTTCCACAACATACGTACATTAGCTCCACCCAATCCAAGTTCCTGGTTACACTACTGCTCCCTTGAGATAACTGTCCCGTACCCAATTTTAGGGTTCCCTTTATACCAGAGAGAAAACTCGTTCCGGGAAATTCGCCCAGGAATTAGTAATTAGAATTTGCCCTCTGATTTTGCAACTAAGATAGTTTTGGTATATTTCCTTTAACTCGTAAAAGAACGTAGTCCCACACGTCCTTCTCCAATATTGGTGTGAAAAAGCTCCGCTTATATGACAAACATCTAATGCCAGGGTTGTAATTTTTGTGGTGCATTAGATGATCCACAAACTATCCTACAAGAGCATGTGAAAATGTCAGCCCTGTTCGTCTTAAAATTAGATAGAAAGAAAGTTTATTTTTCCAAAGCACAAAAAAACAGAAAGAAAGAAATAAAAATAATACATTTAAATTGACAACATTTTTTTTGTTACGGTAGAATAAAATAAAATTAGACTTGAAGTGCGCTATATACCAGTTGTATGGAGGTTACCTTCAGAAATTATATGGGATGTAATGATGGTGGATAGGATCCCATATTAGAAGGTATACTTTATGCAATAGCAAAAAAAAAAAAAAAACTTGTACTTAAAGAAAAAAATGTGCCTATTAAAAACAATCTTGTGTGTGCTTGTTGCCGGATAAACTACTGCAGATAATTAATAACAATGATGATATTTGAAGACGAAAAAATTTATTTAAATAAAATTTTAATGTTTTCTAAGGTAAAGAGCCACGATTTTAATTTTTTTCAGAAAAAAAACCTCTGTTTTTTTGGGAGGTCACTTTAACCGGGACTAGGTTATACAATTTTGGTGCACAATATACAAAAAACCTTTTATATGCTTCTAATTTTGGAATAGGTACTACGAGATTTAAGGCTACTCGAATATACTCTAGCACTTCACATGAAAAATGTTCTCAAAACACGATAAACAAATATGTATCTTAGAGGCAATATTTGTAAATTATGAAATAGGGCAAATGCATGATCTCTATAATTTTGGCACCTTATAATCTTAATAATTTTTTTTGCGGTATAAAAACGGGATAAATCGTGGAATTATACGTCCCTCCCCAACAACATATTCCATACTGTAATTTTGAGTGAACTATAGAATAATAAAGAATCTTTAAGGACAAAGAGCGGACATATATGCTTTAAATGTCGGTCCGTATGGCGCAGTTCAGTTAAAGCTGAACTGTGGTGCTAAGGGTCCCTGGTTCGAATCCGGGATCGGGCATGGATATTTGTAAATGTATAGTGGGTTGGGTTGGTAGAGCAGCCTTGGCTGAAATCCCGCCCGTTCAAAAATAAAGGCAACTTAATAATAAAAAATAAATAATAAAATTTAATTTGGAGAATTCGATCAATGTTTACTTGGGACACAGGCACTTAAAATAGATATTCTGTATAGTGTCCGTTGTATGTTTTATTGAAAAATAAATAAATTTCTTTTTTACACTTAGTGCAAACTTATTGATCTTGAACCATCTTTTAATTTTATTTAAATCACTCTGCAATCATGTTGAAGAGTAACTACGGTACCAGAGGAACAGAGCTGGTCAGAATACTTTCAAAAAGTATTTGAATACTAAATAATAAATACTTTACACAAATCAAAGGTATTCAAATACTATGCGAAGTAGTAGTAGGGCACAAAACGGGACCCTGCGGAACTCCGCATGTAACTGCACCATTGACATTGTGAATACGTACAACATTTAATTCGGTTCATTAGATAGCTATGAAACCAGTTCCACGCGACTCCTCTTATTCCTACTTCCCACCCATAAATGCTGCTTTGGTATCTTGTAATCTACTGAATCAAACGCTTTGGTGATATCGTTAAAAATTCCTGATACGAACAAATTGTCATTAAACCCTTCAAATAAACCGCTGCAGAAGTTTATTACAGTATCTTCTGTAGATTTGTCAGGGACAAACCCACACTGGTTATTGGACAATATGCTATGCTTCCTGAAAAAGGTTAAAAATCTGCTTTTTATTATTTTTTACCAATTTCTGTGTCAGAAAACGCCCTTGTACATGACAATCATACAGGCTGATTCAAAATCGAGGGCCACCATGGGGATCTCGGGAACTGTAAGAGATAGGTAGCTAATTTAAATTGGGCAAAGTTGCGCTTAACAAAATGCAGTTTTGAAACAGAAAAAATTCCGACTACTTTCAGAGATTGCAAAATCTTTTTTATTTTTTACTGAAGTTATTTAAAAAAATATTTCAAAATAAATGACCATGGTCAACTTTGTTTGTTCTAATGGGAGTCATTTTTTACTTTTTGTGTCATTTGATAGAGAACACTACCCCAAGACAAAGTTTTCTAGGCAAAAACGCAGGATGCGCAACATCAACTGTCTTAACTATCGAGATATATTTTTGAAATTTTAACCATAGATGCAAAGAAAAATATAGCCGTAGCGTTTTGGGAAGAACTGATGCATGGAAAATGCGCTTACTCATCTTAAATGGCGCCAAAGCTTTCTTACCTGTTTTTAGTTTCGTCATTTTCTTCAATTTATTTTCCAACCATTCTTTTTAGATCGACAAGACGTTCCAGAAATAACTTGATAAAATTACTAGCTTACAAGGGGTATCAATCAGTAAAATTAATAATAAACCATAAATGAAATACAAAAATTTTCTAATAAAATAATATGTACTGGCAGATTTATTAGAAAAAGCGGAAGTTGTTAAATTTTACAAGATACATTCTGCAGTACTTGGCAGTTGTAGCCAGTAGATGACCCCTCAATAAAACATTGTAGGGGAAGAACTAGTGACTAGTGCTGATATAGGGATGTCAAAAGCTTCAGTTATGGAAGGAAAACCTCATATGAAAACCGAAAACGTTTTTCCTGCTTAGTGACAACTGAAATGTTATAACGGGTACGAAATTCAATTAGACGTAGAGTGCCAAAGGGTTTGAAAGTTCAAGGAAGAGCTTTCGAACCTTTTCCTAAGCATAACAGACGTTGAAAAATGTGTAATTAAGTTGTAGGTTTTTTTAAATTGTAATATGTAAAATAACCATAGCTCCGTAACCCTGGAAATAATTGAACAAAAAAGTATTTCTACATACGTAGTTTTGTATGTATATTCAAATTTTAAAAATAAAATTTAAAATGTCAAAGTGACCTCCACTTCTAGAAATTGTCAAAATAGAGAAAATTCGCCAAAATTTCATAAAAATATTTAAAACCGTTTTCGAAATATCGCCTTGTAATACAACTCATCCTGTATAAGGGTATCCGCATTTCTTATTTTGACGAATTATGCTATTAGTTTTCATTTAATGAGACTTTCCTATTTAATTAGTAGGAGTTCATTTATATTGGTGCAGATGAGGTGGTCGAAAACGTGAGTTTATAAACACAAAAACCAGGAGATCGAAATCTATTACTCTAGTATGATTATATAAGATTACCCTCTCGATTAGGTATATAACAGTTTGTTTCGTTCCCTATGTTTCTTCCGTATGTATGGTTGGTTGCCTGTTAGAATAGAGTACAGATTCAGTATTTAAATTTTAAAAACCAGTATTGTCCTTGTCCTTGTGATAAAATTCCTTTACCTTTTATCTTCTTTTCCGGTCACTTTTTGATTCTGGCATGGTCGTATGTCCAGCGTGCCAATCTTCATTTGTGTAAAAATTTCATCTTAATTAATTATAAGGATCTTCACACATTGAAGTAAATATTTTCTAATTGTTACCCAATTTTGGAGACGTTTTTGGTTCTCATGGTAATATTTTTGGAGTTTCGCCAAGCGGATTTTGGAAGCACATTGGTCATCGGCTTGATACTTTGGCTCGTTTACGATCTTTAGAGGTTTGTACATCTTGTTTTGTTATTCCCAGCCCTTATTGGTAAACTATTATTTTTAGCCGATTTTTACTACCTACCAATTTGTACGTTTTTCGTCTCGTCCATCATTGTGAGGGAAACGCATAGCTTTACCATCGATATCAACCCGTATAAGAAGGAGCCCTGCGCCCCATTCATCGCAGAGCCATCACCGATCATCCCCTACAAGTGCGTCCCTGTCGTTCTCTGCGTGGCGTCACCAACCCCAATTGTGGAACGGTATTCTACAACGAAAGGTCAGCTGTTTATTACTTGAACCTTCCCGACTACTTTGCAACGAACCATCGAATCCTGCATCCACGTAGAGACACCCTTGCAAATTTGTTCCCTTCCTCTCCTTACTTCCTTTCAGTTCCTTTGTTTTGTTGTAATTCGTGTTTTAATTTCAACAACTTATCACTGAACACTGGTCACGTAAAGAAAAAAAAACGATAAGTAAAATAAAAACATCGTTGTGCTGTTATTGGTTATGTATTACTTTAAAACCGACAACCCTTCTGGTTGGTCGGACGATTAGAACTACTTTTTTTGGTTGTGCCTACTGCACCGAATTATTATTTTTGTACGTTTATGATTGTTAGGCAGTTATCAAGATAGCCTGTTGTTTTTTTTTGGTTCTTAAAAAGGTAGAATGCCCGAGGTGAGGTACGTTTTTAGTAGCCCGTGAAAGAAAGGCCTTTGTTTTACCCCCGCACTAATTATTTTTGATTTTCATTTTAAACGCTCTAGACCCCAAGCGTGAGGATCTAGCGGCACTTGCTACTGCAAGAGTTTATTTTATTTTCATTATTTGTACGTTTGGAACTTTAATCTAAAATTTTTATTAACCGTTCAAGATACAGCGATCCCTTGATATTATAGATATACAGATCTTTAAATTCTATGCATATCAACAACTAATTTAATAAACGACCAGTTCACCCCCAATAGTTCTTTTTTTTTTTTGAATTTACAGGTATGTGTTGTTGTGTGTCCTTTTATCTTTCAGGTTCTGCGTTTCCTGTAGGTATCTTCTTGCATTTTCAAACGTAGTGGCGCTACCCTAGTCAATCAGAACCACGCGAATATATCCCTGAAATCTGAACCGCCTCGCTCCTGCATCAGAGCTAGACCGGAGCAATACCGGCATTTCTTTTTGCGCCCAAATGAAACCGTTATAGGTAGGATTTAAAAAAGATTTCTGTGACGCCTAGAATTTTCTGAAAACGTTTTGAAGAAGATTTTTCTACAAATTTCCGACAACGTTTCCGAAACGATTTCTAAGATTGTTTCAAATGTGTTCATGAGTTTTAAAAAGACTGCGTAACTGGACTCCGTCAGGAGGCTGAGTTCTCTTCGATATATTCTTCGTGTGATATCCTGCGAATATGTGCAGGTTGTGATTTGGTGGTAGGTAATGAATGCCGATCAAAAACTGGTACATACCCCCAATTTCAAAGTGAGCAAACAAAATTTCAATTACTGTAATCGTTGTTAGTTTTTTCACTGCTACGGCATTAATCTACTGTTGGGGGGGGGGGGTATTAATTATGCAATACTTGATTCTGCATTAGTTCAAGCGCTACGAGTTCATCAACTTATCAAATTTAATAAAAAATGTAATTCGTATCCGCTTTCTAACAATTTGTGCGGGAAGGGTTTTATTATTTTATTTTTGGTCAAATTAAACCTTTATTACAAAGGATAAAAATCCCGTCTCTTTTATCCTCGTTTAGATTTAAAGTTGCGATAAAAATGACAATGTAACACTGTTACAAAAGTTAATGGTTTTTTTAACGCTACTATGGATTAGACGTTCTAACCCTCTCCCTCTTTCGCCGCCTATTCAAACGCGGCGTTACTTTTTCCAAACTAATCAATTTTAATGTTATTTCAGCTAACTGACGTTCGTTTGGAAAATACATAAAGTAAACTGTAATTTGTCGTTTCGATCCGTAGAAAGGCTCATACAAATATTCTATTTTTTTCTTTCGCGCTTTAAGTAATTAACGAACAGGTGCGTGTGGAAGCAATAACAGGTGTTGTAAAAGTTAAAAATAAAGTTATAAGTTTAAAATAGAGGTATTTAAAAATAAATTCGACGAAGTACAAATAGGCTTAATACACAGTTGTAAAACACGGCTTGTACAACATGACATTTAATTGCAAGATTCGATCTCATCCAGACCTACAAATCACAATATCGGACACATCTGGGAGGTCATGAACAGCCATTGTATTCTGAGCAGACCTCTACTACGTGCGTTGGTCACGTTTTCTATATCCCGCGATGACGGCACATGTTGCACTCCATACCATTTTTCTGACATAATATAACACACTACATCCTCCATTACTTTAAGCTCATAGTTTCGGTGTTAAAAGTATCGTTAGCGATCGTCCTTTTGTATGCTAGCGCTAGGATAACCGGTATAGTAACTTCTCATAATGTAGATGACATCCTGCAAGTCCTGCGCTTTTATAAATGACATGGCCACCGTAGCTGCCTGTTCTCGAGATCATGTTCTTGATATTTTTATTTACGTTAAACCATCTGAATTTGTTGCTCGAAGTTGAAACGTACAATTTCTCTGTATGTTATTAAATTCAATCACATCTTTCTACAACTGCGATATTTAAAAGCATGCAAACGATAATTGCATACAGCTATAACTCGCAATTTCCTGGCGAATATTGCGTTTAGTATTTAGTTCAAATTGGTGCACGCACTCTTCTTTGATTCGCTCACTTTTGCATTTCCCATGCTTCGAAAGCTTATACTGAAGCTTTTGAGGTTCAAGAAGAGACAAGAACGAGTTCAAGAATCGTTTGGTAGGTGGCAGTTAGTGGCAAAATTTTAGCGGATTTGCTGTTTTGCATCATTTTGTAGTGATAGCAGTTGTAGTTATTATGGTAGTAGTACTAGGTTAAAAAGTGATGGTGTGACTTATAAGTATGTAAATATTTGCAATGAAAAGCCGACCTTAAGCACCCTTTCTAATGTCAAAAAATCTTCTGTATATTTATTATTATTTAAATACCTACTTGTACCTATGTTTCTCCATGTAGTTACATAGGTATCTTTATGGCAATACGTTGTGTGTAATGTCATCCACTCATTCGTATAATAATAGTTCAGGACGTTCCCAAACTTGCGTGTTAAGTTCGCCATAATACAGTACTCAACGTTTCCCACCCCTTGGGGTTGAGTTATACTTGAAGAATACCAACCCAATATATTTTTTACAGCAGGCGTCGAGGCAGGCGTATTATTCAGTGGTGATATCCTACCATAACTTATAAGAATCAGATGCCTTGCTTAAACATTCATCGTTCTATGGTCAAAATTTTCGATTTCGTCACTTTTTCCTTTTAGGACAGGAAGTAATTTTGGATACTTGCATATGTATAAATTTCTTTTACGTTTTGGCATTGTGTTTAACGTTTTCAGTAAAATTTTCAGTTTTTTTTCCACGACACTACTTGAGAAAAAAAATAGTTTTTATACATTTTTCTGCATTTTATTCGAACCAACTCAGCAATTACTTTTTTAAATGTGGCTATCATTATTTACAAATTACCTTTCTCTGCATTGTCGCCGAAGAGTTGTATTGCATTGCCTGGCGATGAGTCAAAACTGCAATTAAACCTTCAACATTCTCCTATTTTTGATATCTGAACTAATCAGGATATAAGAGAACAACTGAAAAAATGTTGGGGTTTTGATTCCCCTCCAAGTTAGCACACGATACTCGAGGTCAAAATCTTAATAGTGTAGTGGTGTACCCCCAAACAACCTGTAAACATTTCATTAACTTTGGAATACTTCCCAGATAAAAAGGGTATATCGACTGAACTACTCCGAATAAGCAGTGTTATTTTTCCTTTTGGTTTCGTTTATATTACATAATTTTTGTTTAAATTGTATCGGTTGTGTAAAACGTGAAATTGCGCGTGTAAATAAAGGTTGCGATAAGAGATTTTGATATCGGACGTAAGATAATTCACGCACTTGTTCTGGCGCGCGTGTAAATAAAGGTTGCGATAAGAGATTTTGATATCGGACGTAAGATAATTCACGCACTTGTTCTGGCACAAGAGATTCAGGTGGTCAACGATGTGCGCATTATATCAGGCGTACTGTGAGGAGGGGTTTCTTTGCAGCCGGCGTTATTAATTGGAGATTATTCTTTGACGAAAGTGGTGTTCCTTTAAATACGCGAGACTTGGGGCTGCTGTTAGTTCGCGATGGTGAAAAGTTATGGGCGTATGGCCCTTTCAATTTTGTTAAAGACGCAGTTAGCCAGTTTCCAAATAAAGTGTGTAAAGGAACTTCAGCAATCTTAATAAGATATTTAATTTATTGTTCAGTGAAGTTGCAGAAGTTTGTGGAAAGTTTTATTAAACGGTTTATCCGTACACAGAAAAATTTAGTAGGAGTGGGAGTCAAAGAAGCAGTTGTCTGCTCAGTGAAAGTTAAAAAGTGTCTACCGTCAGAGCAGCCGCCGAGAATCTTTTTCATCTTGTTTATCAAGTTAGTTCGAGTTATTGAGTCCAGTATTTTAAAAGAGAAAGTGCAGTTTCCTGCAGCTGTCAGCGAGTATTTATTTCCCGAATCTCTAGCTTCATCTTCGACTTTTCCATTTCTTTATTTTATCCCAATCCCTTTCCATTCTTCCCATCATTTCCTTGATATGTTCCACCTCTGTTGCCATGATCACCGTGTCGTCCGCGTATTCCAGGGACCATATCTTTTTTTGTACCCACTACTATCCCTCTACTTTTGCCGCGTATCTAAAATACTTATTCCATGTCTCTTAAGAAGAGGTTAAATAAGGTTGATCTAAGTGGGCATGGGCATCCCTGTCTTAATCCTTTACGTGTCCAACACACTTCGGACTCATTCCCTTCTCCTACCCTCAACCTTGTTTCTCCATTCCTTGATTATGTCCTTTAACTTCTTATCAATATTCCCAGCTTCCATACTTTTTCTACTTCAGTCCATGAAAAACGCCTTTCCGCCTTTTTTTTCAATTCCTTTTCCATCAATATGTGTAGTACATCTATGGGTCGGTCGTTCCCCTCCCTTTTCTGAAACCCATTTGTGTTTCCTCCCAACATCCTAGTCTTTCGTATCATTGCAGAGTGTAATAGTCATTCCTCTATACTTTTTCACACAGTTTCCTCTTTTGTAGCACGAAACATTTACTCCTTCCTCTTCACATAAACACCCTCTTCTCCGAACCTTGTTGACTAGATTACTCATCCTTTCCCCTTTAGCTTATCTGTGGCGAAAACACCCACGGGTCATTACCTATCTCGTCTCTCCCTGCCACTTCCCCTTTCTTCGGTCTTTTTAATAGCTGTTCGATCCCCTCTTTTTTTATATCATCTCCTTCCTAACTCTTCCATAGCCTCCTCTTTCTCCTGCTTTCCTGGTAGTAGCGTGGTAAAATGTTGTTTCCATTTGTCTAATTATTGTAT